CATATCACCTGGAGAACCTCATCGAAAGCCAGGACAAAAGAAACGAGAGACCTAGCGGGTATAAGGTCAGGGACTGTAAAGAAGTAACATATGATTGTAACAGGTTCCAAAAACTTGTTCGTACTCGACTTCAAGTGCTTCTCTTTTACGAAAGGTAGTAAGAAATGTTTACGATGCTTTCAAAAAAGAGAATAAAATGTTTCTGAAGAGTTCAACAAGGAAACTATGAAATCGGAAAGAAGACATCAGGGAATAATGAAAATCTAGATCGTGTCGCGGAATTTTTAGCGGCTTTTTTCGCGGACACTACGGAAACTGAGCCCAACAAGTAATTTACAACTCCAAACAATACTTTAAGTCAGGCCAGGACAAGCACAAAAACACCTAGGATCTGACTAGCGTGATTGGATTACCATCAACACTCTCGTCTGCCATATTCGCAACGACTAAAGCATTGGGCTGAGTCAGGATCTGCGCAGAAACAACGCGTTTTTCTTCACTCAGCCAATCCACGCACTCAATCTCCTAACGTGTGACTAATCGCTTTAGCACAGACACTGGCAATACAAACCACCGCAAGACCCTTTTGTTGACATTCCATAGAACATTCCACTCTTATCATTCCCAATCACTAATGTCGAGAAACCTATCACAGCTAAGCAAGTAACGATCGGCACCATGTTCCACAAATGAAAGTTCACAAGAATATGTTCAGGAAATGGCAGCGAAATCGTTAGTCATCAACCGGAAGCAGCTAAGCAGCTACGGAAGCTGTTTCTGGTGTAGTTAGCTATGCTTCAAGTATCACAGAATAAGGGAAACTGAAAATATTGAGATCAATGACAGCAACAAAAGGGGAACCATTCAAGGGACAACCTCTCTAATCCAGAATCCAGTAGCACGCATGTAACAAATTTATTTACTTATTTATTTACTATTTATTTACTAAGGACAATTCTCGCGTTCAAGTATCGTGGATAGTGAGTGTTTACCCATGAACTGATGACTTCCCAGTGAAAAAAGCAAAAACCCCGCGATTGCATTGGGTAATGGCGTCCAATTACGGGCCTACGGTGGCTAAGCGTTTCGAGGGAAAGAAAAAAGCAAAAAAAATTATCAGGAACACCCTAAGTAAGGACCCCTAGGAGCCTCACTGTGCGAGCTCTCCGGACATGCTCATTTTGCGCCCGCAGAGTGATATCCTGCCGCCTCTGGCCCACTAGTGGTTTCTTCGCGTCATCCAAAGTTAATACCATCTGACAACAGGAAAAAAGCGGTGTAAAAACTGAACTCGTGACAAAATAGCCTCTTAGTTTGCTTGGGCGGGACAACTAGGGAGGTGTCTGAGCTGCCATTCATCTGGGCCGCCAGATTTGCCACTTACGAGAGCCGCATCTTCGCTCTCACGTGAAACCGCGAAAGTGAGACAGTTGTAGAGACTGGAGACCACACTTTGTACATGGAAGGACGCCTACGAATTGCTTCAGCGCGGGGACTGTCTTTAAGGTACATCCTAAACAAACCCCCGTGACAGTCACACAGTCCCAGTACTCTTATTTTTTACGTTTTTTTCACGTTTCAGTTCCTTTTTCAGGTCAAGTTCTTAATTTCGATGAGTCCGGAGAAATCGCACTAGAGACCTTCTGTGTTTTGTCACAGTTTTTCAATTAATGTCATTTTCTTCCTTTCTAATTGCTGGCAAACCGACACCCTGCGGCGTCTGTACAACCCCTGGCTCGTGAATCGTTTCCCTGACAAAAACACTGCAACAAAACTCGTTACAAAAAATAGCTTTAAAAAACAGCGTCCCAATTCAGGATTATGATGAGCAATGCATAACGAGCTTTTGCACCGGTGCAGCTGCGTAGCACTGGCTGATTTAAGCGGCACCCGAACAAGTGGACTGCTATTGCTTGCTTATTTTCAGAAATATTATCCAGCAAAAAACGGAAAAGCCAGTGACCATTGCAAAAACCGTTCTCTGTGACGAGCACATGAGATGGCCCTATGACGCTGCACGCAACTCGCGCGGCAGTTAGCAGTGTAAATTGTTGTCTTAGAGACTGAAAACATCAAAGCCCACAAAGGTCACGCGTCTGTGGCCGCTTCATCTTACCCTTCTAGGTAACGAAAGTGCTAC